CGACGTCTGCGGACGTCGTGCCCTCCTTGCAGGCATCGTTTACTACCTCTCCTCCTACCACGTTGGATTTTGCAAGTGAAAACCTTCCCTCGTCGGGCTAGCTTGTCGACGCTCTTGGTGTCGTTTCCCTTATTGAAGGCTCTGCTAGGCGATCCAGTTTCCGTTGTGGACCTCTTGCCGTCTGTCATGGCGCTTGCCCTATGGTGATGATGCTCGGTGCTCCCAAGGGTGTTGGTGCCCGTTTCTCCAAATTATCTTCTCTAGTTGAGGTGTCTTAGTTGGTTTTTTTTCTTCGGCTAAGTTGTTGTTGGTTGGATAATTGTTATTAGTTGGGTAGTTTCGACCAAGCTGCAAGTGGTGGCGTGAGTTGTGACAGTTGTTCCAAAGTTGTGCGGATGAGTCGGGCACTCTTCTTAGTTGTATGGTTTTTTTTTGCCCAGTTCCCACTCAAAAAACTAGGCTAGCACTTGCATTTTTCTTTCTTCGTGTAATAGAAATCGTGGTAAAGCTTTTGCCATCCTTTCTAAAATTCATCCATGTTTTATTTCATTTTATATATATGATATGACTTGAAAATAACGTCATAAAACTTTTTACTGAGACTTGACTAATACACAGGCTGTCAAACAAGGTCTAACTTGTTAGGATCCAGTGGGTCACCCTCCTCTACACGTTAGTGGACGTCACGAAGGACCGACGACACCCACAAGGCCCCTAGAAAGTGTTTTTTTTTAAAGTGTCTTCCGTATATTAATTTGGCAACATATTACGGAAACGGGACAGAATGTTCCCCACTTTGGAGTGCACGCATGGTAGCACAATTCTCATGCAGAACCTAGTGTAAGCATTCAAACTTACAAGTTTGTGTTGCAAAGTGTTGGGCATGCTTCGCTAGTCTATGAGCTACACTATTAGCCTATCGTGGAATCTTACAATACTCAGCATCTTGAGCTTCAGAGTTTGAGATAATGTGAGCAATTGAAGGTCGGAGCTTCGAGTGTGTAGGTTGTAGTAAATGATCTCTTTTCTTCAGAGTGTCCACAAGTACTTGGCAATCTGAGAAGAGTTTGTACTGTTGTCGCTGGAAAGCTTTGAACACATGGGTTCCTAGCTGAACAGCGCGCTAGAGTTTCAGCCTGGAGAGGGCTGTCGGCATCCATCACCTGCGCTTTGATCATCAAGGATTGATGACCTGGAACCTGTAAATTATTAGACAAATAGATGCCTAGTCCAGCCGGGGTAGGCGCTGCAATCTGTGACGACGGAGTAATGGATGCGTCCGTGTAATAGTCAGGGAGGATATGATTATGCAGGTTTACCGGTGTTGTCTGAACCAGTTGTCGGTGCTATGGTTGCTGGTTCCATCGACCACTGCTGTTTCTCGCCCGCCCGTCGAAGGTGGTTGTTGGGGAGCTCCGGCAACAGGAACGGACAGAGAGCCGGACCAAACAGCAAGTAGTGGACTAATTTTTTTTATTATTACTGTCACTGGGCAAACCTATAATGAATGCGAGGCCACAATACAGACGTCTGCTGGAATAGCTCAGTTGGTTAGAGCGTGTGGCTGTTAACCACAAGGTCGGAGGTTCAAGCCCTCCTTCTAGCGGATATTTGTTATTTTTTATTTTGTTTTGTCTTTTTAGATTTAGATTAGATTCAAATTCTTGCTAACTGTTTTTGGACAAGCCTTTTTTTTTGTCTTTTTAGATTTAAATTAGATTCAAATTCATGCTAACTGTTTTTGGACAAGCCCGTGTATTAAATGTGCTATTGTTAACATTCGATGTATTTTTTTTTTTGCAATGAGCTATTGTTACACTTTATTAATTTTTATCCACAAATATGGCCTCTCACTGGTACGGAGATAATTTTTAGAGGCGTCTCCCTTTTCTAACACAAGCAGTTGTCTTAGCACGTCGTCACTAACCTTTGCGAGAGGCACAGTAACTATACAAACTGTTTTCTCATTTAAAACTTTGTAGTTGATAAAATTTTTATTTGAGATCATTTAGAGTTCCAAATATATAAATTAAGTCTCAGATTTTGAATTTCAAATTTTTGAATTTTTCAAATGACATTGGATGGAGAAATGTTCTATATCAAAGTTGTAGTGCTCGACGGGATCTAAAACTTTATAGTTGAAAGTTTTCTCATTTAAGATTGTTTATGAGTTAAAATATTGATTACAAAATTCATATATATTAGTACAAATAGACAGCATCGTAGAACTAGACACAAGTGACTGTGTGATGTGGTGGTCGGGGAGGGATCACGCGAGAAAGAGGTTGTGGGTTCGAATCTCGAGTGTTAGCACTTATTCAAAATAAGTGAAAAATAAATCTTGTGAATTGTGGCCGGTCCTCATCCCGAAGGGCTATATTAGAAATATTTTTTTTCTTATTTTTAGTAGACTCTGGAAATCATTTTCAGAGACACAAGTGACTGTGGTACGGTGGTAAGGGAGGGATCGCGCGAGGGAGAGGTTGTGGGTTCGAATCCTCGGCGCTTATTCAAAACAAGTGAAAAATAGATCTTGTGAGTTGTGGCCAATCCTTAGCCCGAAGGGCTACATTAGAAATATTTTTTTCTTATTTTTAGTGGACTCTAAATGATTTTCAAAGAATTTTGGAAATTATTTTGAGAGATGGTTGACTTAAGTCAACCGCCTCTAAAAATCAATTTTTTGAGAGGTGGTTTTAAAACCGCCTCTGAAAATCATTTATTTTTACGATCGCTGGCATAGTAGCGGTTTTAAAACCGTCTCTGAAGATCACTTTTGACCGTCTCTAAATATATTTTCTGTACTAGTGTCTTCTTGTCTTGCATATATCCAAATTCATGCTGACCTCAAATTATGGAAAGCAGCGGATTTTTGTTGGTTTTGATCTTTTTTTTGTCTTTTTAGATTTAGATTAGATTCAAATTCTTGGTAACTGTTTTTGGACAAGCCTTTTTTTTGTCTTTTTAGATTTAGATTAGATTCAAATTCTTGCTAACTGTTTTTGGACAAGCCCGTGTATTAAATGGCCTCTTCTTGTCTTGCATAGATCCAAATTCATTCTGACCTCAAATTATGGAAAGCATGCAAATTTTAGGTGCACATCATTTTTTAGCAATTTTCTTTTATTTAACAAATAATTCTGTTTTTGGACAGTGAGCTATTGCCGGAGTTTAACTTTTCTCATAAAAAACTATATTGAAACCTAGCAAATTTGGTACTCTAGTTGGTATTAAATGAAGTTTTCTATTTTCTAAAAATAATAAATCTAGTTTAATACAAAAAATAATAATTATTTTATTTAAATAAACAAATAAAAACATGTACGGATATTGTCAATGATATAACCTATTTGATACCCTTTTAAAAGTGTTCTAATGGTAACACCATAACAGTGATGCCCGCTATTTATTTAAATTATTATTTTGTGCTTTACTTTATATAAGTTGATCATATGTTTAGTTCATTGGCATGATGCTTGAAATCTCCTATTACTTGATTAACTACATGATTAACATATAAAATAGGATAAAGTAAATACATATTACTGTAACTTATGATAATATTTACGAAAATGTTATAGTAAATCACTTAAGAGGATTATAGTAATATCATAAATTAGTACAATCATTATGCTAAAAAATAGTACAATCATTATTATTACTTAAAGTGGTCATAGAATAAGTTTTTTTTTCCAACTACGGAAGTTCTATGATCACTTTGAGTAGAAGTATATCAAAAACGACCTTTCAAGCCTCGCGCGGCCACACGGCTGGAGATCCATGCCAAAACGGCCTTTCATGGCCCACGCGGCCACACGTCGGAAGGGTCCTTGTCCTTGCAAATTGGCTTCTTGCACGCTCCAGCTCCACAGCCATCGTGCTCAGCTCGTCAATTGATTTTATCGAAAAATTCGGAGCATCATCGGCTGTCGGAGCGATGGAGTACGCGATTCTTGAATCCTCTGGACCGTGCTGTTTGTATGCCACGGAGTAAGCTAATCACGGCCGTCGGCCTGTCTCGCTTCTTGAATCCTCCAGGCACCCAGGGTGTGAGTACATCTCTATCTTTTCTTCTTCCTATAAATAAAAAATCATGTCTACTTTCTTTACTAACATCATCGAGTCATCCCTCATACAGCAAGATCATGGATTCACCTAACGTCAGAGACGATCAAGATTGATCAACAATTCAATACAGATCATGTGAGTGTTTGTATAATAATGTACTCACACATGGGGACTCAGAATTCAATTTGTGTATGTGCATTTTGTTTAATTGTTTGGTATTATGTTTTATAATAATTGTGTAGATATGAAGAAATAACAGGGGTGATAGTCTTTTGGACAATTATCTTGTCACATTCATTGAACCGGATATTTTATCTGAAGTGGATGAAGATAAGTAATACTATAAGTCTCTTACTCGTCTATGCCTTGTGATATGTTCTTTGAAGCGGATGTTTTCAACTTAATCTTGAAATTTAAGACTTATTGTGTTTTTAGTGCATGTATACCATTGCAATTTTTATAGTTGCTACTGAATTGTTAAATGGTTTTACTAAATTGCATATGATTTTTTTGGATACATATCCTCAGTTAGAATTCTAGATCCGCCACTGGTTTCACCTAACGTTTTCTTAACCTGTGAAACTGGACCCAAAATAAAGTTATTTCATTGAAGAAGCTATCTGGCACAACTGACATTATTCATATATTTGAATCTGAATCCGAGAAACATTGTAGCTGTTTGTATTTGTATCCATAGGTATATGACCGTATTTGACCGTTTACACCTTTGTTTTGGCTGGAGCTGGAGGTTTACTAAACGGGCCCTTAATACACTATGGTGGCCACATATGGTTGGGAGCGGCAAACATCTAGCAACAACAATCACACATTTAGAGCTAGTTTGGTGTTGCTCTGCTCCTCAGGGCTCCCCGGCTCCTTGCGATCTCGTTCCCACACTATAGAGCATATAGAACACTGTAGCATGGATCAAAATGGCTTTGGTTCCGTCTAAAACAACAGAGAACATGAAGGAGCCGAAGGAGGTACAGCTTTGTTATACTTGGAGCTCCTTCAAACACACCCTTATCATATCCAGCGGACACAGTAAGAAGGTGACGAAGCACACCACTAATATAATGCTTTTAACGTTTACAAGATTCTGGCTGTTTGACTCTGCATCTTCTGTTTCTCTGAAGCACACAGCCCCAGTAGAAAATATTAAATGGATTCATTGGAACCTCCCTAAAAAATCATATCCTAGAGAGAGGAAGGATGGGCCGATGGGCGTGTTTGGAAGTCCGGTTTTGATATCAAAGCCGGTAAAAAAATACATGTCTGGATTTTTTTTCATCGTATTGAAAGTTCACCGAGGCCAAGCACTCTGAAAACAAGCTTGAAGTTTTGAAAGCTGAGAGAATTGAGATAGTTGGACAAAAGATAAGGTGATTTATTGATTTAATTAAAAAGACAAACACGACACCTTACTGACGAGTAATACAGACTTATTGCCAAAATTTAAATACTGAAGCACAGACACACAAAAACCAAACTAAAACATGGTTGCAGAAGCAGTAGGCATGCTCAACGGCATCTTCTTCCTTTGTTCACGCATTTACTCATGCAGGCGCTGTTGCAAGAGGTATTGCACTGTTGGCCAACCCCGTTTTGGCAAGCTTGGCATGCTGGATAGTTGATTCTGCAGGCGAACATGCAATGACTCGGGACGACCCTGTCGCAGCTGTGACAACCGCATGTCACGCAGTCGCCGATGCAGCCGTTATCGCAGCAGGAAATGCTGCTGGTGCCATTACTGTTGCAGCAGTCCTGGCACCCACGGAGGACCTGGGATTTGCAGACCTCGCACTCGGCTGGGATGCTGCAGGAACTGCTGCAGTTCGCGGCAACGATGGCACTGCAGTTGGTATTGCACTGCGATGCGCAGTCGCTGCAGCATATTGGCGGCTTCTTCGGATGCCCCTGGGAAGACATGACCAGCAAGGTGAAAACGGCAACGGCGGCCGCCACCTTAAGAGCGGCTGCACCTGAAGCCATTGCTGTGGATCGATGTTGGATGCAGCAAGATTGCTAATATTGGGCAGGGTTTCTAGAGCAAGAGATCGAACAATACGAAGATATGATGCCGAACAAGCTTTGGTGCCGACTAGCTACTGATAGTGTGTGGCAATGCTATTTATATGCTACTGCCATTGTAGGGCTTATAATATCTAAAGTAAATTAATAGTACGCATTAGCTGTTGTAACGTAGAGAAGACGTGCGTGTTATAAGTTACAACAAGTTGACATGAAGAGGAGGATCTGAGTATATATATGATATTCATCGGTATTAGCAGTTAGAAAGGTAAACAGCTGGCCCTTGTTCCCGTTGTGAAGGGAGGTTTGTTAGTATTTTTACTTTTCTTAGGACATATTTGCTAGGGCTCCTCCGAAAAAAATCGAAGCATTTGAGAAGGAGCTACTTTTTTTTTTTGGCTCGGGCTCCTTGCCTAAAAATAACTTCGATTCCTCCACTGTTCATAAAAAAATGGCTTTTCCTCTTTATGTATTTGGTAGAGCTCCACCAGCTCATTGGCAGAAGATGTTATCGGAGCCAGAGCCGGAGTTGTGCCAAACGGACTCTTATTAGTCATGCATCTGGGAGTTGACAAATGCAGTTTATAGTGCACTACCCACCTTCTCTACGTGCACTTTCTTGCTTCCAAAAATAGTTCTCAAACACGTACTGTCTTTGACATGCTCAGACATTAATAGCTACAAGCCACCGAAAGCTGCTTGGAAGATGGTGTGTGTCCCTAAAGAGATTGGTGTTTAGGGGTTGTCAATTTGCACACTTTTGACGAAATCAGTGCTGCGAGATTTGCAGTAGAAGTTGACGTGGTGTAACATATATATACTCCATTTGCTTCAACAACTTGTTCCTAACATGACCCACTCAACACATGTACTTTGGTCTTCCTCCAAAGCAAGAGTTACAGTGGAGATTCTGTTGTTTCCATTCCCCATGCATCATGATGTAGACTAATCTTAGTACTCCCTTCCATTTGAATGTGCACGACATATTAGAATTGAAAAGGTCAAACACAGTAAACTTTGAGCATCAATTAGATAAAATATATATGTTTAGTGCACAATAGATGCACGTATAGATTCTTATTTTTCATGCCTAGTACACCTTAATCTATAACCAATATTAAAGAGCCAAAATATACTTCATTTTTTCATCCACTTCCCACTAGCTACCCGAACAGTGGAGCATTTCTTCCATCTGCCTTTTTTTACTAGACCTAGACGTATGACCGACACTCATTCGAGTTATAGCAAATCATGTCTAGCGATGATGGATGTAGTCTGATTCCAATACGTGTTGGGTCGCGTCCTTCGTATCTCGTATGTAACTCATAACATGCGCTCATCTATATATGTACACCTAAAAAGATTGTCTAATATAATTCTAATTTTAAACTTAAAAAGGCATCTTATTCCCGGTGATACCAAATCTTCATCTTTGCTCACACGTCTGCGTCAGATACGAATCATACTGCACTCAGCTCACACGTTTGCGTCCTATCCGGTTTCGATACGAAGACCGAATCTACATGTCCGCGTCCGATTGAAAGTCCTCAGAGCTCACGTGTCCACGTTCGATTACTAAGATTCAATTAAAAAATTATGACCCGTTGCAACGCACGGGCATATATCTAGTACTCCCTCCGTCTCAAAATAAAGGTCGGGATGCATGCAGGTCAAACTTTTTCAACTTTGATTAGGTTTGTAGAAAATAAGTGCAACATTTATATCTCCAAATAAATTTATTATAAAAATATATTAAATGATCTACCTAATGATTCTAATTATGTATTATAAATATTAATATTTTTTATATATATTTGGTGAAAGTTAAAATTGTTTCGACTTCTCAGGAAGTGAGAATAACATCTATTTTGAGACGGAGTATACAACTAAAAGGATTATAAAGTCATCATCTATCAGTGATATCAAATCTCGATCCCTGCACATGCTTCTGTATTCAATACAAATCATCCTCCACTCGAAGCTTACACATCCGCGTCTTCTGATACAAATACCGGATCAACGTGTCCGTGTCATGCAAATCCATCTTTGTAGGTGTCAATAAATATTATGTGATCCCGATGCAATGCACATGCATTTAACTCGTACAGGTTAGAAAAACTCACGTATACGAAGTTCGATTTCTATAGCCCTGTATGCTTATCTTATAATTCCATACTTTTTAATTTATTTTTTAGTTAGAACAATATTTTTCTCTCACAACAAATCAGTCGGAACAGTGTTTTCGGCTTTTTTTTTTAACAAAACGAAGGGGCCTATGTTTGTTAATTCGTTATAATGTACGGACACGTTACGGAACGCGAGGGAGTTAGCAGATGCCCACATATGCCTGCATGCCGCAGCCGTCCGTCTCCTCGTCGGGCCTTGTGGTCGATCCCATTGATTCCTGAGACGTTGTCGAATCCTGTGCCTCTGCGAGACTAGAGATGAGACGTCAAATGTTGACCAATTCAGCTCCTGCACCGACTACAGACTCAGCTACGATGTACAAACAATAGACTCGCGTGGTGGCGGCTCTATAGGATGAGATAAATTTTGTATAGAATTTGGTAAAACCATTTAGTAATTCGGTAACGTAACTCAGCATATATATGTACTAATAACATGGTACTTAATCCATCCCAAATTATAAGATATTTGACTTTTTTAACACCAAGTTTGACCACTCGTCTTATTCAAAAATTTGTGTAAAATATCACTTCTTTCGTCGTGGTTTGGTTTATTAATAAAAATTCTTCAAGAATGACTTAAATTTAACTATATTTGCACAAATTTTTTGAATAATACGAGTGGTCAAACTTGAGACCAAAAAAGTCAAACATCTTACAATTTAAGATGGAGTAGTACATCTTAAATTCAAAGATTAAGTTAAAACCATCAACAAATTACAATATAAATAATTCAAATGTCATGTTTACAGTTCAAAATATATAAGTACAAAAGGAGAATAAGGGACTTACAGTGCTAATACTAATTATCTAACGTTTTGGCCGACGCTTCTAAGGGATATGAATATCTCGAATATATCATCCACTACAAGAAATCTAGGCTTTTAGCTGTTCAATAAATATAACTAGACAATTATTCATAAGATTATCACTCATCTTATTTCTTAAATTTGTTTTTACTAAAATCATTATAGAAAGTACTCGATCTCACTGCACAAGGAAAGTCTGCGAAGACTAGTCAATTTGAGAGAATCAAGAAGACGCCATGGCGCCAGCAGTGAGACTCCGTCCCAGTGTTGTTCCTAATCTCCGTCTACGTCCATTTGCTCCTAAGGGCACTCGCAATGCATACATCATCATGAGTTCTATATTTATTTATTATCTCTCTATTTATTAAACTTTACTGATGTGGCAGTGCATTTATAGAAGAAAGAGAGGGAAAAACAAGAATTCGTTTCTAAGGTAGAAACAGTGTCTTCGGTTCAATTGAAGCCGAAGAAACCACCCTGTGTGCGTTGGGGAAGACGGCGGTGGTTTCCATCCAAGCTGCCAAAACCCGTGCGGCATATATCCCTTTCCTCCCCATAGTCATTGTTGGGCTACGCCCCTCAGCTTTCGCACCCCTTGCTGGCGAAAGGGGGGAGCGGTTAGTGACCGGTGCCATTCGTGTCCCCATGAGGGCGAAAGGGAGCGCTCGGCAGCCTCGGGCGCCCTTGCGTGGTGTGAGAGCAAGTTCGCTGAGGCCATCGACCGAGGTATGGGGGGTCGATTGATTGCTTTTGCGAAATTACTTTCTCTGGTGTCGAAGGGAATCTTCGCCCTTTCGTTCTCGAGGAGAAGGCCACGGTGGGCCGAGCAGCTACAGCTGGCCGTCGGGGGCACCGGCTATGGCGAGGGTGGCTAGAGCCAGAGGGTGTGGAAAAGGAAAAGACCGGACTGCCCTCGACAAAATGGAATTTTCCCTCGGATCAGGGTAGTTGTGAGGACAGCTGAGTCCATGTAAAATGCTACGGCTGTGTATAAATAGTGCCCCTATAGGGGTTGTAAACGGGACAGAGAAGAACCCTAGTTCCAGTTGATGAGATCAAGTCAGGTCACTTGCAGTGGCCTTTCGCCAGTTTGTTCTTTCGGGTTTCGATACTTGTTCAGGTGACAACCCGGGGTTCTAAGGTTACGGCTTAGAACAACATTGGTGCCCATGTTGCTCGAGCTTATCATGCCACCAAAGAACGAAGCGCCGAAGCTACTGGTGGATAGGGCAGAACCATCCAAGGCGGCAGCCATAGAGATAGCCACGCGAGATGGCGCAGCAGTGGCAGCAACATCGGAACCACCAGCACCCCAGGCAGCAGGAGACAACACGGTGCCTCCTCTCGGTCGAGAGGAGACGCCCAAAGGCAAAGTACAGGAAGTCCAGATCGATCAAGATGGAAATGAAGTACCGGAAGAAGATGAAGACGATGAAATCACCGAGCAAGCCAGAGACCTAAGGAAGCTCGATCAGTACCAGCAATATATCATCAGGTTACAGCACGAAAGGGACCAAATGGTACAACAAACGACAGCAAGAAATAGGGCCGAGCAGACTCAACGAGCAGTCAGGCAGGCTGAATACGAAAGGGAAAGACTGGTCAGGGAAATTCAGAGATTGCAGAGGGCAAGAGCGGTAGGCATCGTCCAGCTAGGCAGAAATGTTGCAATACCCGAAGCACCCGAGCAAGAGGGAGACTCAGAGTTATATGACTCTAGCTCTCCGCTGGCAAGGGAGTTTCCGCTGCACCCATGGCCGATCGGGTACAAACCACGCATCCCAGCTTTCGATGGGAAGGCTAATCCAAGAAAATTCATCGCAAGCTATGAAACTGTAGTATCTTTGGCTAGCGGGGACGCACAAATCACGGCAAAATCTCTCATAATGGCAGTTGAAGACATCGCTCACGATTGGTAAACATCACTCAAGCCGCTGTCAATTAACTCATGGCAGCAGTT